TAATTATATATCTATAATTATTTCATTAGTAATCAGTACCTTTTTTGGAAGAATTACCTAAGAGTTTATCTCTTTATTTATTTTTAGAAAATGTTTAAACATTTTAAAACGTCAGGACTAAAAGTCTGTTAGGATTCTTTGCAAACACGCCTGAGGTTTGATGACGTGCGGGGTGGAGCTGTTGGAGGATACATTTCTCGCACACAATTATTTGCTTTGCTTTGAGGATCAGTCTAAATCAAGACATCCAATTATTTGCCTGCAGGTTTTCTCTTTTGAACTTTTTATTAATTAATTTGTTTGATTGACTTTACCTATTTAATTTGTGTTAATAGTTTATAATTGTACATTTGACTTATGAATAGGCCAGAGTTACGCAAAGAAGAGTTCTGCCTCATTCTGTCAGGCCAAAGGCATGTTGGGAGTAACCCTGCAGCTCAAACAGTTTAATCCGTATCACACCTGAAAATTTGGGAAATTATTATCTGTGGCAGTGATTATTTGTTTTTATTTTAAATGTCTTTCATTTGCTTACCCACGCTGACAAAACCCATCAAGAATCACCGCACCATTTCAATATTCTGGTGTAAATTTTACATTGGAAAGCAAACAATGCAGTAAAGGCCAGAGAGGAGGAGGAGGAGGAGAAGAGGAGTGGGGCTGAGAAGGGGGTGAAGCAAGACAAGCAGAAGAAGAAGATGAGTCATTGTGAAACAGAGGAGGAATCTGGAAAATGTGCTCAAATGCATCAAATTGGGGATATTGTATTCTACTAGAAATATGTGTGCGGTAAATGATCACATTCTTTAAAGTCTGGAAATGTCATGGGGTATGTTGCAACAGAGAAGAATAGACAAATAGCGATTCCTGGACGACCAACACGTGTGGTCGACACGCAAACTAAAAAAACCTGACGACGGAGCTCCGGGTCCTTTCTTTTATTCATCCATTCTCCTGGCCATCCATCCATCCGTCCAACCAATCCACCCATCTGTCCATTAATGGCCATCCATCTATACACCCATCCATTCATCCAACCAATACATCAGTCCATTCATCATCCATTCTTCCGTCCATCAACTCGTTCATCCATTTATGTATCATCCATCGATTCATCAAACCAATCTAACCACCCATCCATCCAGCAATTAACCTATTCATTCATCCATCCAAATATACATCCATCCAGCCATCACTTGACTCGTTCCTTCATCCATGCATCCAACCAATCCAACCATTCATCTAACCATCTAATCCATTCATCAATCAACCTATTCATCAATCCACCTATCACTCAACTAGTTCATCCATCCATCCATCCATCACTCGACTCATTCATCCATCCATCCATCCATAAAACCTACAGACCGAACACATCCTCACTGCCTTTATTTAATTACCAGCAGCATTTCCAGCTCTGTTCAAGGAAACCCAATGGAATACCCCGAGGCCAGTTGGGATATGTGATCCTTCCAGCGAGCTCTGGTTCTGCTTTGAGGTCTCTTACCATTTACAGTAACTGTGCCCAAAAACCTACATGTGCCAAAGAACTGTTGTGATCAAAAACGTCTTATTAGACAAATACAGAACCTACAATTTACGCACGTGGTTTCCAACAATGTGGCAGTTACATCAAGTCAACACAGCAACATTAAAAAAGAAAGCCACACCCGAGGATGTACGGTAGGTGTCAGAAACAAACTCTGATCGATCCCAGAGCAGACTGAAAGAGACGGAGACGGATGTTGACACGTTTCCAGGTTAAATATAAATCAAACAGCTCAGCTCCATTAATCTTCTGTGTGTTCTGTAAACAATATACCATTTTTCAAAACCTACAACAGTGGATTAAAAACCATAACATTACAAAGCCTTTAAAGTCAACATAATAGTTCTGCAAGTGCCAACAAAGCCTCCAGCAGCCATCTCACAGTGTCCCACTAAGGATTTGTTATTCCCCGTGATTCAAAAGGCTTTGCTTTTTCACTGCTCTGTTCTGGGGTAAAACAAATTTGACAAAACAAAGAAAATGAAAAAAAAATCTGTAAGTGATTTTCTCTACGTAGAAGTCAACAAAGGAATCACGTGGAGTCGATTGGATATGAGAGAGAGAGCGAGAGACATTCGGAAGAAAACAGAAAGGACAACACGGAGCAACATGTTTGAATTAGTGCTGCTTTGAAACACAACGAGGAGGCAAAAATCAAAAGCATACGACCTCATAAAATGTCCCTGTTCTCTATCAAGCATGCACTTTTTTTCGACATTCAATTGTAAACTAAATTAGAAACAAACCACGCTGAATACAAAATATGAGTGTTATTGATCTAATTTCTCGTCATGTCATAATTCAGTTAGTTATTAAGTTAGGATATTAGAGAGTGAAATGTGGTCAATTTGGTCCAACGATTCTTATCAAGTTATTTGTTTTTTACATTGAAAGCTATGTAATTTAGAGCATTTCCTCACAGAGTAGCGTCAGCAGTTTCCTGCTTTTTATGAAGTTTTTCTGCATCAATAAAATGCTAGTGTCTGTCTGTTCAGCTAATTTGCGACAGACACACTGTTACCAGTGAGAAACAACAAAACAACACTGTTTGTTTCCACGAGGGGCGCCGTCATCTCAGTTTGAATTAGTGAAACGTTGTCTCTCTGTGAAAGGACACATACAACTGTAGAGGAACATGACTTAAAATGACATTCTTGAACTCAAGTAACCTTCATGAAGACCACACGTGCAATTTGCAGCTGGTGCCGTTGTTAACATTTTGGCTGGCATGAAATCTCCTTAACGTGCACAGCAGATGCTGGAGATTCCTTCTGTTTATGTAAAAGTGAGGCACAAAGGCTCATGGGGGGGGGGGGACTGTGACACATTTCAGATTCCATGCAAATTGTAGTACACAAACATCTCTGCCACAATTTTGAAAGAGATGTCAAGGAGGGGCGGGGGGGAGGGAGGGGGGGTGTTGATGAAACGAATCGGTCTTGGCAGACGTGGGGACACTCTGTGACCCTGGTCCATGTTTCTGATCATAGCGGTTTTGGCTACAACCATTATTCCCTGCCAGACCAGAACTGGTCAGATGACTAAACACACTAAACAAAGTCACTCAAACTTCTTCAGAATGTTAAAAAAAAAAGAAGAGGAAGGGCATTCAAAACGAAACATTGGCTTTATAAATGGATTCTTATGGTGGATGAATAATTTAACAGGACCTCACAACACACACTTACAGCTTTACAGGTGGATTTACGTGACAGGTTTAAGACAGACAAGACATTAATGGGAATGTTCCAGGCTTTTCATTACAGTAGTGTGTAAGAGAACCTGCTGATACATCACTTTTTTTATATAAATCTCCAGCTAAAATGTGTATATAATATAATAGAAGAGCTCTGATTAACACCTGGTCGGGAATTTCAACCTCCCTTAGGTAAGGAACAAGTTCAATGGAGTTTTTGAAACATGGAAAATGCCACTGCGGGGCTGAGCAGCCAGATTAAAGGCAGAGCTGCTCTTTTTTCATGTTGCTTTGACAAGAAGATTGCAGACTGCAGTCAATTTCTCTGTCTTTGTCCTCTTTTGGTCCCAGAGGCTGCTGAAGAGCAGCAGGTGCTGGGATCATATCTCGCCCGATCATCTAAAGAGTGTACTAAACTGGAGACAGAAGAGCTGGGTCTACAATGCCTTTGTTTTTCTGTAACAACGACCGTAGTATGACAGATTTTTTTTTTTTTTTTTGCAAAGATTTGTTCCTTCACAACATCTGCTTCGCAGGTGCAATGAGTGTAAATACACAAAACACTTCAAAGACACTGGTGGAATTTAGACTTTACAAGCCAGAGGGGAGAAATGAAGGGAACACAAGGTGCATAAATTCTGTAGTTAGCCCAAACCAGACCTCTCCAAACCTCAGAAGATCACAGCACAAGGGAGGGGACTCCTACAAAATGACAAAAAAAGACATAAAGAGCTAAACAAGGCTCGACCACAGCCAGGCTCATCA